TGTGGTCCTTCCCTAGGAACTGATGACAGGCAAGTTTACTAGCCTCTCCTGCAAGTCATAATCAAGACATCAGTGGTTTTTTTTTTAATCTGCAAAAGGTCCAGAGAGTTGATTAATTCAATTACCCTCCTTGGCCGACAGCTACTGTTGCTTTACATATTCAAATGTGCAGCTGGGAAGGGTGCTGAAAAGCCCTTCCTGACACCCTGGCGAGTTTCCCCGATGAAGTGACTCTCACATTCAGCCTGCGTATTTAGATGCACGGGGATCTGGCCGTGGTGCTGTGGATGATCAATTTAGGCGATGAGATCATTTTCTATTTTTATTGATGAGAGAGAGAGAAGGAGAGAGATTGATTAATTGATTTGTTGTTCCACTTATTTATGCATTCTTTGGTTGATTCTTGTATGTGCCCTGACCAGAGACTGAACCCGCAACCTTGGAGTATCAGGATGATACCCTAACTAGTTGAGCTCCCCAACCAGGGCCAGGCAGGGAGATCTTATAACTACTTATGTTCATTTTAACCAGCTTATTGAAGGCAGGTAGCAGTGACTCAGGGAAAGGCACTATGGTGTAGGGATGAAGAACATGGGCACTGGACTGAAATCCGAGTTCAACTCCCAGGTCCACCACTTAGCTGCTGTGTGGCCAGGCCAAGCCCTGTCCTCTCTGAGCGTCTGTTTTGTCAACTGTAAAGTGGAACAAAATCGGTCCCTGTTTTACAGGGTTATTGTGAGGATAGAGTGTCCAGTCCTAACCGTGTGTGGCACACCGAAAAGTCATATCGGTTATTCATGGATGTCAGCGACAAAGGGGCATTGATGTTGCCGTGCAGTGAGTTTACAGATAAGAAAGGAAGCCCAAGAGGTCAACCGGCAGGTCCAAGATGAGATTGTGGTGATGCCAGTTACCCCGTCTAGCCCAATAATACACATGTTGTTCCCTTTGATGGGGGACATTTTACACTCCTCTTCCCATCTTGAGAAAAGTCAGAGCTTTGAGTTAATTCAACAGACTGGCCTTGAGCACCTATTAAGTGCATAGCCTGGGGCCAGATGTTGGGCCACCAAAGCAGCACTGGCTTAGTAACCAGCACACTGTAGAGGAGACTGGGCGCTCACTGGGAACTGGGCAAGGCCTGCTGGGGTGAGCTCTTCGGAGCAAGCGGGCAGGGTGGTGTGCCAGAAGTAGTGACCTTGAGACCAGGCAGGCCTGGGTTTGAATCTTGACACATCTGTGTATTCAGAGGGCCACTTGGCCAAGTCTAGGACAAATGTATAACACAAGAAATAATGATAGTACTAGATTACAACCCATAAAATAAAGCAAATATCCACAAGTTCATGTGGATTTAAATAAACAATTGAATAAATGGAGAAAAGGAACCTCTTTCTTACATTAGAATTCCAATGAATAAATATAGAAGGCATAATAAAAATAGGAAGTCACCAAGTAGGAAATACCATTGTAGTAATTGTTTTGGGTGAGAATTATCAATAGATGATAAAATTAGTGGGTGAAAGTTTGATTAAAGACAAGATATTTATGTAGTCTCAAATGTTACCCTTAAGACTCTTATTACTTATAGGAAAATAGTAATTTTATCAGGAGGAATCTTGGAAGATACCACCTTAGTCAAGAGATTAGAGTTAATACCACTAATTAGTGAGACATCTGAACATTATCTGCCTCCTGATAACCCGAGAAAAGCACAGCATCACTTTTGTGTTATTCTTGACAAAACAGCACGATCTCCATGCAATCACAAGGAAACACATGGACACAAATTAAGAAACATTCTATCGAATAACTGGCAAGAACTTTTATAAAGTGTCCATGCCATGAAAGAAAGAGACAAAGACAAAGGACCTGTCGCAGATTAGCAGACAGTAGGGAGACAGGACTACCAAATGCAGTGGGCCGAGGGAAGGGGCACTAATGGGAAAACTGATTATATCCCGACAAGGTCTACAGTAGATCATATCGTATCAGTGCAATTTCTTATTTTTGCCAGTTGTGCTATGGTTATGGAAGGTGTTCATATTTTAGGACACTGGGTGATGGCAATACAGGAAATTTTCTGCAATTTTTTTCTTTCTGCAGTTATTTGTAAATGAAGTCAAAAAAGAAAGAAAGCGGGAAAGGTTGCCTTTGGCAAATCTCTCCTCCTTCTGAGCCTTAGTTTCCTTATTTGTAGAGCAGGGCAACAATTCTAATCTACTTCCCAGAGCCACAAGGATAAAATGAAATAACGCAAAGTAGCAATGTGTGTGCATTTATCCTATAAAAAGGTATTCTTGCCGCTAGCGATGGCAGCCCATGTGTCTTGATGAGATCCTTGAGCTGCTAAAACTTCAGGAGGGTTGTACCCTAATGAGAAACATCTGGCTGCAAGCTACTTCCTCACAGCCATTGGATATGACCTTGCCTAAGGAAATAATAATGCCAGCTTTGTGGCTGGGTGGCTGCTGTCAAAGAGATGGCGCCAGATAGCCTAGACAGCTGGTGATAGTGACGTCACCTCTAGGCTTGGCAGAAAGAAAGGCCGTGGTGAGACAGAGATGGGGCAAAGGGCTTTGTCCCTGACCATGAAAACAGGAAAACAACTTCCCAAATAGCCTATCCTTTGTATGACTGATTCTATTTTCAGTTCCCAGGGTCGCTAAAGGGTTTGGCACACGGTCCAATTTTTCGAAAGGGGGGATGGATTAATCATAAAGAGAATGCCTCACAGGCCCTTATTTCTTTATAGTTTCCAAAGTATCTAATTAGATAATGCAGCTGTGTGAGCTCAGCATTGTCTGCCCTGCTTTACACATGGGAAAACCAAGGAGAAGCGAGGGGAAGAGACTGCAGGTCACAGGAGGTGAGAGGGCTCTCGGCAGCAGAAGTCAGGTGCCTAGACTCCCAGGCCCGCCATTAGACTGTCCTCATCAAGATTCACCTCATGGTCACCGGGAAGCAGTTGCCTAAGGAGTCTGCTGACCACACCCATGAAACACTGTTCTCTGCATGTACATATCATCTCTTAACTGTAAATCTAAAATGGAGAAAAAGAAACAAGCAGGGAAGACTGGCTGCTTGAAACATCTAGTGCTTTGCAGTTTAGAGAGACCTGAGCTCAAATCCCAGCTCTGCCACTTACCAGCTGGGAGACCTGGAGAAAGTGATTTTTACCTCTTTCAGCCTCAGTATTCTCATCTGTAAGTGACATGGGGGTAATAGTAGACCTGCTCCAGAAGGTAAGACTTCTTCCTTGCTTCCTTTCTCAAGAGTTTCATCTGCTGGATGGAAAGTTAGTTCCTACATTTGAGAAGTGATGATTTGTAACCCAGCCTCCCTCACCAGAATACAGTGCGTCAGTAGCATTGAAAAAAAAACCCACCAAGGAATAGCCTTCACAGCTGTGAGGTCCCGAGACATCCATCCAGTCCAACCTTCTTACTTTACAGATGTAGAAACTGAGGCCCAGGGAAGAGGAGCAGTTGGCCAAACATCAGAGTCAGCGGTGGAAGCGGCTTCCCTGCTTTTGGACACTCATCTCACTGGTTGAAGTTAGCACTGTCAGGAACTGTTGGTTCCTGGGCTTCAAGCACCGAGCCTTCCCTGGAGCCAACTGGTTCCTGCCCACTCTGTCTTTCAGGGGGTTATTTTACTGCTGATTCTGGGGGTGGCTGAAGATCTGGAAAAGGAAGAGGGACAGGCACAGGCGTGAGTTTTATAGGCTTCACGAACACAGGAACACACACACGGGGGTGTGTGAATATGGCAGAACTCTTTGACTGAGCTATTATAGGTATCTCAGGTCATCTTTATATCCTTGCAGAATAGGTTTTAGCACAATTTTCCAGATTGCTTGAATCACGCAACATATATTTTTAAACACCTGTTGGGTGGCAGGCACTGTGATATGTGTTGGGGATATGACAGTAAACAATTCAGAATACAGTCTCTGTTCTCCTGGAGCTTCCAAGAGGACTACATTAAAAATAAACACCCCCCCCCCCCCCCCCCCCCCCCGGAAAAAAAAACCCCAAGCAAACCACAAACACACACAGAAGTCTATACTTGCAAATGTGGTAAATGCCACAGAGGAAAAACAAGAAAGGGCTTGATTTAGGTTAGAGGATTAGAGAAGGCCTCTTTTGGAAAGTAACACTTAAACTGAAGAATGAAAAACTGAGACTGAGGGTGGACTTGCACATCATTAGAGGAAAAAATCACCACCAGCCCACTTACCCATCTTTTCAAGTTATTTTCATCTAGGACTCTTCTGACAGCCTGCAGAGGAAGGTAGAGCAACCTTGAGATGGGGAGACGAAGGTTGGGTCCTCTGGCCAAGCTCTGCCCCAATTATCCAGATGTTTGATGATGGCTCTGTTCTTTAGGAAAGGCAGCCAGATTTTACAGAGTCCCGACTTTGCTGGCTGGCGCCCCGGACCTGGCTCCAGTTCACAGGCTTACTGTGCATGACTTTGGGAGAGTCGTTTAGTCTCTCCCGGCCTCAGTTTACTGATTTCAGTGCATTTGAGCCCTAAAGGTAGTAAAGGGTCACTGGGTGAGTCTGGAGAGTAAGTGTTGCTGACCACTTGGTTCATAGGAATGAGCTTGTTTTAAATTAAGTGTGCAAATTACTACCAGAGTTGGGGTTCTACAGGCAAGGATTTTTTCTAAAGGGAGATAGCACAGGATTATGTGATGAATTTCAAGTCAAGGAGGAAGCCAGATTCCCAACTCCCGCTCAAAATAACGGATCACGGCCAACTTTAGCCCTCAACAAAGATGGAGCCTTCCCTGGCTGTGGCTTGGCTGCCCTCACCAAATATGGCCACCAGACGGTCTTTCCTTAGCTTTGCTGGCCCAAGGGCGGGCGTTCTGCCCTTAGTTAAGATGGCGCCCACCCGCGCTTCACTGCCTGGCCTCTGGTCTCGGCCTGCCGGCTTCACAGCACGCAGCTCGTTGACCCCGCCTCGTTTCCGTAGGAAGAAGCGCCCGGAAAGATGGCGGCGGCTGCGGTTTGAATTCCAGCGGCGCCTCCGGAGTTCAAACAAGAGCTGCATTGGAGGGGGCGGAGGCCTGGAGAGTCGGGCGGGTCGCTACCGCTGGGGGGATCCAGTGGTGCCTCCACCACCCACACTAATGCCACCACCTCCTCTGTGTCCGTGATGGACTCAGTGTTGGAAGAGGACGTCACCCTCCCCGGGACGCTCAGTGGCTGCAGGTGCGGCCCGGGTTTTGGGGGTTCGTGGTAACGAGCACAGGGTTCCGGCTGATGGGAGTTCGCTCCAATGGAGAATTGGGGTTCTTGAGGGTGTTTGAGGGTTTCCGGACAGAGGCACGTGTGGGTTGGGATTTTTTTGTGGGGGGGTCTCTTTGGGAACCCACCAGCTGATAGAGTGTGGAGGGCTGGGGGTCTTGACTGGCACCGCACTCGCCTTTCCTATTTTGGGACATTCTTTGAACAGGACAGGTAAGGGATTCTCTAAAAGAGCGGGGGGGGGGACCTTTTGGAGTGTGGCCATTAGTGGGAGCTGATTGAGGGTCAGGACCGTGAGGCTACTTGATGGTTCATTCTGGTTTCGGGGTTTGCTTTCAGTACGGGGAGTGTAGTTGCTCTGTCCAGACTTGCGTCTGGGGGTCACATAGTGGTGATGAGACAGAGGCAATGGACCGTAGTGATTAAGAACCTCGGCTGGAGTTGAACAGATTGGGTTCAGATCCAGTCCTTTAAACTAACTAGCTGTTGACCTTCGTAAATGGCTTAACCTACTTTCCCACCTGTGAAATGGGGCTGGTGGAAAAGCTACTTAACAGAGTTGGGGTGAGGATTAAAGAAGATGCTTGTCCAGCCATTTGCTTGTTAAGTGTAGTGCGTGGCACATAATCAGTCCCTAAAAAATGGTTGTGTTGCTCTCACCATCACCATCATCATCATCAGTAATATAAATTAGGGAATAGTGACCAGGAGTGGCCTCCCAGTGGACCTGCTCCAAGAGGCGTTCAGAGGCCATATTGCTTGTGCAGCCAGGGTCTCTGCTGATGGGAAGGCCTGAGAGAGCCTTGTACCACTCTAGGGCTGGGGCCCTTTGGGTGTCCCGGACTCCTGGTTGGAGCGTGGGTGAAAGGATGTGGAGGAGAGCCCGGCTGAGACTGTGTAGTGTTTATCCAGGTCTGCTAGGGACAGGCTGCTGACTGAAAGGGGAACCATATTATTTGGTGTGCAAAACTGGGCACCTTGAAGAGTGAAATGGGCACAGTTAATATTTATGCCTGGGCAGCAGGCAGAAACAAGTCCTATACTGAGCAAACCTGGACAAAGAGTTACTTTGTTTATTGCGAATCTATGGTGTACAAGGCAGAGCAAGGCCCTTTGCAGCTCCTGCCTGGTTGGGTCCTGTGGTGGTTCTTCGTGTCTCTTTATCTCACTGCCACTGCCCCATGTATTGTGGCATGACCTCTCATCCAGATTGTCCTCTTTTTTCCTTTACATCTCTAATATTAATGCACTACTTCCATATATTGTCATTCTGACTGCTAAGTTCTTTTTAGAATGTAAATCTGATCATCAGTTTGCTGCTTTGTGTGTCTAATGGTTCTTATTACCATTAAGATAAACTTTATCCTCTCTCAGATTGCTTTTCTCATCTCAGTGCCAGTTGGCCAGACCTACCTGGGTTTCAATCCCGGTGCTGTCACTCAACAATCCTGTGACCTTGGATAAGTCACCCTCTGAGCCTCAGTTTCGTCATCTATAAAGTGGGTGAGCCTAAAAAGGTTAAGCCCATTGTCTGACCCAGGGCAGCAACTCAACAGGTCATCAAGTATTCTCCCTTCCCAGGTATTCTCCACGACCCAAGGGCTGCTTACATTCTTGGCAATGACTCTTATTCACCGGCTTCAGACCCTCCCTGCTCCTTTCTCCACTCAGTATGAAATGCTTTAATATGGCTTCCAGGTCCTTCCTAAGCTGGCCCCCCATTTACCTCATAGCCTCCCTCGTCCTCCCTCTCCCTACCGTGTCTCCTCCCCAGGCCCTTCACTCCGCCTGGCTGCCTATTGAATGAGCTTGTCTTGTTTTTTCCTACTGCTCGGCCTGTGCCCTTGCTGGTCTTGCTGCCTGGACAGCACTTACTACACCCCTTTGCCTTATTAATGCCTGTTATTTTTCAGGTCTCACTTTAGATGTCACGGTAGGACGACTTCACTGACATGTGCCCACCCCCATCGGGGCCCTCTGTACCCTTCCAGCTGTCCCATCCATCCCTGACCCTACCTGACGCCTTACTTACCTTGCTGAATTTCACCGACTAGCACTGTGCAACAGAAATATAACTTGAGCCTCATCTGTAATTTAAAATTTTCTAGTAGCCAAATTTAAAAAAATAAAAAGAAACAGGTGAAATTAACTTTAATAATATATTTTATTTAATTGAATATTTCCATGTATTATTCTAACTTGTAAACAACAAAAATTATTAATAATTACTAAAATTATTTTGCCTCCTTTTTTTTACCTTATTGAGTCTCTGAAGTCCTGTATATATTTTCCACTTGCCGTACATCTCAGCGTGGCTTCACCAAATCAGGCACTCGGTGGCTCCCTGTGGCAGATGGCTCCTGAATTGGACAGCGCAGGCGCACTGTCCACTTTCCATCGCCCAGATTAGACTCTGACCTGTTGAGAGCAGGGGCTGCGTTTTGATCATCTTTGTAACCCTAGTTCCTAACCTGGTATCTGGCTCGTAACTGGGGCTCAGTAACTATTTGTTAAGTCACTGAGTAAACAGCTACCTTTTGACACTATTAATGCTTTGCATGGTGAGGGCACTGCGGCTCAGAGATGGGAAGTGAACAGGTCTGGGGTCCACAGAAAGTGCGTGATGGAGCCAGGATTTAATCCAGGCCTCCTGACTCCATGCCTGGCTTTCAGTACGCCGTCCTGCCTTCTGACTAGTACCTATTCTGAGAGGATTCTGGGAGAATTTTATAGAACTGCTGGTGCGAGAACTGGCCCTAAAGACTGTCAGTATCCAGAGAGAGATGTTCTCCAGTAGGTGGTCATAGTCGAAGAGAAAAGTCCACAGAATGAAATCACCTCATTGTCTGCTAATATGAGCACTCCTCTGCTTGGTGGTTTCCGAGCCCCAGTTCCAGAGACTAAACTAGAGTCCAGTTTGTTCTTAGACTTTTGTTGAATTAGGTTGTCGTGCGTCATTCTCTCTAACCCTGGTCACCTGTGGGTGCCCTGAAGCACTTTCGCCCGGTGAGACTTAGGCCCAGATCCTGGGCCCAGGAACCTTACCCACGCTGAGACCCTGTAGTAAGCCCCATCTGGGGGATTGAAAGAACCTGGGCTTTGTACTCAGATGACTGGATCTGAATCCCGCTTCAGCCAGTCACTAGTGTCTTGCTTGAATAATTTACTTAACGCTTCTGAGCCTCGGTTTCTCTTTGGTGATTTTATCTGTTTGGTTGTTATCTGATAATATCTATTTTATCTGGGTGTCTGCATAGATGAATGGAAGTTGTACGTAGCCTGGCACCTCCCAGCAGTACATTCAGTGTTAGCTGTTTTTCCTGTATTGCTACCACGGTGCACTGTTTCCTCCATGCCCACCGCCCTGGGTCCGTCGCTTTGGTTTCTTGCCCAGGATTCTGCCTGTCCCTGACCGTGAGCTTCCTAAGACCTGGGCCCAGCTTGTTCATCCGAAGGTCCCTCCATTATGTGGCCACTAAAGGTGCTTGCTGTCTGCTTAGGGTCAGACCAAAAAAAGAAATGTTTTCTGATAAGTTTGCACTTTCCTAAAAGTTTGTACACAGCTGGTTCTCTAGCAGTCAGAAGGTGCCGTCATGGAATTTTGTAGAAGGAGGTTGAGAAAGGGGGTGGTGGAGTGAAGTTTCCAGTGCAGGCTGACCTGGGGTCGGGGTGCCTCGGGAGTGTCAGGTGGGAGGAGAGCACTCCCATCCTCACCCATGTGAACTGGGGGCGGGGGCAGGGGCGTGCCTGGCTTGTGGCCCACTGCGTCTTTAGACCCAGGACCCAGTCTGGGACGTAGTAGAGGCTCAACACATATTCCTTGAATGAATCAGTTTTGTTCAGTCTCTGTCTGCAAAGACAGGCCGTGTCACCGTAAGTCCCGTGTGCAGTAGTGAGATGCTGCTTCGTCATCACGGAAACAGTGCAGACGCAGTGCCAGCTGGTGCAGTCTTTGTGGAGCACGGTTTGGCGTCTGTTAACTTTAAACATGTGCCTGCGGGGTTTTTAATAGTTGTATTGAAATATAATTTATAGGCCATAAAGTTCATCTACTTAAAATTACTACTTAATGATTTTTCGGTATTTTTACAGTTGTGCATCCATCACTGTAATATAATTTTAGAATATTTTCATCACCCAAAACGTATGCCCATTAGCAGTTGCTCCCTGTCTTAGCTTGGGCTACCGCAAACAAACAAACAAACAACCGTAGACTGTGTGACTTAACAGACAACAGGAATTTATTTCTCATTGTTCCAGAGGTTGAAAGTCCAAGGCCAGGGTGCAGCATGGTCAGGTTCCGGTGAGACCCTTATCCGGGCTGAAGGCCGCTGACTTTTCACTGTGTTCTCCCGTGGAAGAGAGTAGAGAGAGGGAGCAAGCTCTCGCCCCTTACAGGGCACTAATCCCATTCAGGAGGGCTCCCCCTTCATGGCCTCATCTCCTAATACTATAGCATCAGAGGGGAGCATTTCGGCATGGATTTTGGGGGAGCCCACCGTTCAGCCCATAACACTCCCCATTTCTCCCCGCTCCCCACCTCAATCCTGGGTGACCACACAGTCTGCTTTCCTACTGTGGAACTTCCTGTTCTGGATGTCCCGTGTACACAGGCTCTTACAACATCTTGTCCTCCTGAGGGGACCCACCTCACAGCCTGTGTCCGTGTTTTATTCCTTTCTATGGCTGACAGCAGTCCAGTGTGTACACGGGCCACTTGTGCGCATCCATTCACCGGTTTGTGACATTTGTGTGGTTTCTGCTTTGCTGGCTATTATCAGTAACATTGTTACGAACATTTATTTGTATGCAAGCTTTTATATGGACATAAGTTTTCATTTCTGTGTATAAACTTGGGAGTGGAATTGCTGGGTCCTGTGGTAGCACCGTATCTAACATTTTGAGGAGGGAACTCTTTTCCAGAGTGGCTGCACCATTTTATGCTCTGATCAGCAGTGTGTGAGGGCTGTTATTTCTTCATACCCTCATCAATACTCGTTATTAACAGTCTGTCTTTTTTATTGTAGCATCTGTGGAGGTATGGCATGGTGTCTCACTGTGCTATTGGTTTGCATTTCCCTAATGACTAATGATGTTGATCATTTTTTTCATGTGCTTATTAGCCATTTGTTTATTTTCAAATCCTTTGCCTATTAAAAAAATGGAACATGTTTTGGTCCAGTAGTCCCACTTCTTGTTATCTAGCTACAAGCAGTGCTCACGCATGTGCACAGGGAGAGCTGTATGAGGATGTTTGCACAGCATTGTTTGTAGAAGGAGAACTTGGACACAAGTAGAATTACCAAACTTGGACACAAGTTGAATTACCACCAGCCGATTGTGTAAATCAGACCCTTTCAGCAGCGACTTTCAGACTGTGACCCGCAGCTACTCACAAAATCTGATTCCGCAAGTTGCAATCAGAATTTTATAAAATGGAGTAGAGCAGAGTAGAAAATATCTCAAGAATTTAGGGTAATATCTTTTCTTCTATGGGCAGTACGTTTCTGGAAAGAGTGCTTTAGAATGCTTTGTGGGAGTTAAAACCATTGAGGGAGATCCATTCGTACCGTCGTGAAAATATCATTAGGACACATTCAGTGAAGAAAAGATGCTGCAGAATAATTTATAAAGTGTGATTGCATTGACTTATTTTTAAACCACAAAATAAAACTGTGTCTCTGTCTGGGCAGATACACAGATGAAGGTCTGGAAGGACCTGTGTCTTGCTGACGGTGGTCACTGCCTCTCAGGAGGGGCTGAGATGGGAGTGGGGAGGAGTCAGAGAGAACTTGAGGCTTATCTGCATTTTGGTCTGTATGTATTTCTTCTCTAAGGATAAATCACAGAATGACGAATGTTGAGAGGCAGACAACAGTGTACTGGTTGGTGTAATTGTTTCTTGAAAGCGATGTCCAGACCCTTCCGTGGCTCTCGTGAACCAATGAAATCCTTGGGCCTTGTTGGCTCTGGGTGTGACTGGTCAGGTGTTGCTGCACATTCAGACCCAGAGAGAGATCGCTCCCATTGGGTGGCTGGAGAGCCAGACCCGAGGGTGGGATGGTGAAGCTCAGGTGAGTGCCCATTTATTCACTCAACCAATAGTTGACAGACAGCGGCCATAGTGGCCCTGCGCTGTGGCCGGTGAGCACTGGAAACCCTCTTCTTCCATTCATTCGGACCTCGCCACAGCCCCCTTGAGGGAGGTGTTAGGGGTGCCAGGTGGGGTAGAGGTTAAGAACATGGGGTTTGAAATCCAGCCAGTGTGGCTTTTGCAGCTTATTAACTTTCCTTGGCCTCTGTTTCCTCATTAAAAAAAATGGCCACATTGAACACTGCCACCTACTGCAGAAGGGCCGTGGTGAGGCTCAAGTGGGAGGCAGCCTGTCCTCCTTGTGCCGTCCTGAGTGCGGTGCCTGCTCCGCGTGGTGTCCTGCAGCGGAGGCTCGTTACGATTGTGCTGGACTTTGCTGGATTTGGTCTCAGCTTTGCCACTAATACTTTGTGATTTTGAGCAAGTATGTTCCTGCCCCTTTCTGGGCCTTAGTCTCCCCCATCCGTACCATGATAAAAACCATACTGAAGTCCTCTGGCTTTGCTCGCATAGTTTTGATATCTTGTGAGGCTCCATGAATCCCCAACCTTAGTTCTCAGGCTAAAAATGAGTGATCAGAATGGGAAGAGGGAGGAACTTCGAGCTGGAGGGGTGTCTGGCACTGACTGAAGTGTGCAGATGGCAGTCATAGCATTTTAAAAGTGGATGGGTAAGGTGTCCATCAGCAGATGACTGTAGATAGTCAAAAATGAATAGATAGTGGATAAAACAGCTATGGGACATTTACACAATGGAATACTACTTGGCTATAAAAAAGAAGAGAATTTTACTTTTTGTGACCTTATGGGTGGACCTGGAGAATGTTATGCTAACTGCCGTGTGGAATCTAATGAACAAACTGAACTAACAAGCAAAACAGAGACAGGCTCATAGAGAGCAGGTGACAGTGGTGCAGGGAGGCTGAGGGTAGAGGGTTTGAGCAAAAAGGAAAAGGACTCAGGGACATGGACAACAGGGTGGTGATTGATGGGGGCAGGGGGGTGTAAGGGGACTAAATGGTAATGGAAAAAAGCACAATGAAGATTAAATAAAAAAATAAACTCTAGGGGGGAAAAAGTGGGTAGGTAAAGCCCAAGTGGAAACTTGGCAGGAACCAGACAGGAATTTCTGTTACATAGTGGTTTCTTCTAAGAGTTGGGAAATCAGATTCATTTTTCATACTTCTTTGTTTGCCAGTAGGAAACTTATCAAGGACCAGATTTTTCAGCTTTGCCTACCAGGTAGGTTTCAACTGTGATTGATCTTGGCTTGAGTAACTGATGGGCCGTTTCAGCCAGTGGGAGTCATTCAGCGGCTGTGGGGCTGTGGCGGGGAGAGACCAGGTTGGGAATGTAGAGGCTGGGCTGCAGGCTGAGCTTGACCAGTGACCCTGTGTGTGCCTTGGGGCCCCTGTCTCCAAGAGGTGGTGGTTGAACTTGATTTTAATTTTTAAGAAAATTCAGTTTGGAAAATGGAGTTTTTCCTAGTAATGCCTATTAGAGGAAATTGAGAATTATAGAAAATTAGAAGAGGAAAATCTCTCTCATTTCCACAAGTGATGATTTTAAATATTTCCTTTGTCTTCATTTATAGCCCACCTAACTTCCAAGAAGGGTTAGAGGTGACTTTAGTGTGTCTGTATTTCTTTTATAATTGAGGGCATATTCTACGTAAGTTTTTTCTTGTTATCTTCATAGCAGGCACATTTTATGTAATTACTCTCTTGATGTTGGAATTTTATGATACCCATTTTTTCTTTCTTGGCACTCATCATGGAGGTGCATGCCAACTTTAGGTTTGGTGATCAGGCAGAATTGCCTTCCGAACAGAATGGATTTAGATTTAGAAGTGTGGGAGGAGCAGATTGCCAAGAAGTAGAGCTGAGCTTCCATCAACTCCTAGTTTGCAGCTTCGGACAGAGGCACATCATTGGGGATTAGACGCAAAAGGCTGGGATTCCGGACTTGGTTCTCTGCCTGACTACCGAGCAGCTCTGGATAGGCCGCTGAAATTATCTGGGTCTTAGCGCCCTCCTTCGAAAAGTGCCTGGACTCCCAGGAGATTGGGTGGTTCTCATGATGGTGAATCCTTTGTCGATGACAAGGCGCTGTACCTTTCTGGGGTACCCACGACAGGCAGGTACCTTGCTGGGCACTTACATCCTGTTTAATTGTCAGTTACTTCTTTCCTAGGTGATGGAAGCAAAGCCTGCGGGGTTTGTGGCAGAGCTTAGAGTAGAATCCAGGGGAGTGACTTTTGTGTTAAACCACTCGTCCTATTATGGTTTAGTTTTCTGACAGTGTCTCCAGATCTTCAGTGAACCTATTCTTATATCAGTGTTTCATGTAGTAACACTTCTTGGATCAGTAAATTTTGCATTTTTGTTTGATGGTCTGAAAGCATCTGAATTGGTGCCTGATTCTTGGAAGCTTGATTTTGGTTTTGCTAGGTATATTAATATTAGTAATGACAAAGACAGTAGCTGTCACTTTGCGAGTGTTTACTATGTGCTTTGTGTTTATGTGCGTTAGCTCATTTAATCTTTACAGCTAGAGGGTGGTATTCCCATGTAACCGATTAAGAAAGTGAGACTCAGAAACTTACATGGCATACTGCCTCTGCAACTGCCTCATATGTGGCATCCAGCTTGATGTATGAGTCCGGGAATGAGTGAATGAATGAGTGAATGACCGGTGTTACTGAAGGTCACTCAGCCGTTAAGTGTTAGAGCCAGACTCCGCCCCAAAGCCTGAGTTCCGAACCTCTGCACTGCTGCCTCCCGGGGGCTCAGCTGTGTGCCCTTCCTGGCCACGGGCTGATGATTTTCGTGTGCAGTCTCGGCAGTCCTAGCAGTCCGTGTCGTTCCGTCACTCACTCGTCTCTTACCCATATATTCTCTCTTATAGTGGCCTCGTTCCCAAGTTACCAGATGACCTGGAAGGCATCAGTCTCATTGCTGGTTTGGGAAATGGTGGTAAGTACCCAAAGCTGTGCATTTTTTAAAAATTAGGAACAAGGGAAGTAGCTACCAGTCCATGGGGGCCTTGGGGCCTGGAGCCCGGGAAGGGGCTCTGGTGTCTCTGGGGCCCAGAGCCTGCTCTGGCCTGCAGGGGTACCCAAAGTAGGTGCTCAGGATTTTACATGCGTATTGGTTTGTTACTCACCTCCTCTCAGAAACACTGGCCTAGAGGAATTGATGTCCTTTAGGCCATGTTTCGTGAGGTTTTTTTCCTTGCTACCAAGCTTGTAGGGAGTCAGTCTGTAGTTGCTAAACTGAGTGACTGCCTGGAGGCAGGACACGGGATTGGTGACAGGGTCAGGCACGGAAGACCTGTTGGTCCCCACTGCTCAGCGGCTGGAGGCCGAGGAGAGCGCTGTTTGAACTTGGGTGTGCCAGGGCCCTCCCGGCAGGCTGCTCGGTTCCATGTGCCGGCGGAGGCTCGGCGTTCGGATCCACCCGGGCCTGCCCTGTGGGGGCAAATGGTGGTTAGACCGCAGGGACGGTGCTGAGTAAATAAGCCATCTGTTGTGGTTGAGCTGGGTTATGAGGAGACTTTCTGTTTTGCGTTCTTCATAACTTGTTTCTGAGAAAAATGCAGGCTATCGCAGTTATCTGTGGAAGTGCTAATAATTTGACTTGTTGAAATATCTTAGAGATATTTTGACTTGTGTTGTATTCTCTTCTCCAGACCGATGAAATATGTGCCAAAGGAAGATGTTTTTAGAGCAGGTCGTATGAATGTCACAGGGTTGTTTCTGGACGCTGCTTCAGCGTACAGGCCACCCTTAGGTTTTCCTTCAGAATATGTTAACTTTCACCTGTGACACAGAATCCAGCAGTTCTTGTTTCTGCCCTTCCTGCCCACAGACAGGAGCAGAAAATTGGTAGGCCCGTGTACACGTCTGTGTCGTGCCAGGCTCTGGGCTGAGCACCAGGATTCAGCCTCGAACAGGTCACAGTCAAGCTGAGAGGACAGACGATTAAAGAATTATTATGATAAATCATACGATGAATGTAGTGAGCGAAGACGTATCAAGTGCGGTGAGAGGAGTAAGAGGGAGATTTATCCCTGTGAATGGAGGCGGTGGGTCAGGCACCAGTTTCCCAGGAAACGGATACTGGAGCGGAGACTTGAAGAATGAGGAGGACACAGACAGGTGACTGAGCGTGGCCTGTGTGCCCTGAGTCTGGCGCAGGGCTCTTCCCAGTCCGCCCCTGCCCGGCTCCCGAATCTCTTTTCTGCTGAGTGGTTCAGAGCACCGTGCCCATTCCAGCTCTGGGCCTTTGCGCGGGAAGTTTCTTTGCCTTTTGCTCCTTATCTGCTTCCTTCAGATTCAGCTTGAAGCTCACTGCCTTCCCTGGCTCTCCTCCACTGGCCTTAGGTTTGCTTTCCTCTCTGAAATTTATATATTTCATTAATTTCTGTTGGCTATTTTAAAAATACCCAGAATTAGCCCACTTCCAGTCCGATTCTGACCCTGCTATGGCACCCTGGTCTATTCTGACTCCCGCTATGCCACCCTGGTCTAAGCCACTGTGATCTCTGGTCTAGATTATCCTGGTCTCCTCCTGACTGGTCTCCTGGTTCCCAAGCGCCCTTCAGTCTGTCCTCAGCGGGGCAGCCAGAGGGAGCCCGTGGAAACCGAGTCTGATCAGGTTACTCTTGAGCTCTGAATCCTTTGTGGGCTCCTCGGAGTGCGGGGAAGAGCCCCTGAGGCCACCCACAGTCTGCCCGCCCCCGCACCTCGCTTACCTCCTCTTCCCTCCCTCTTAGTCCATCGGCATCATGGCGGGTCCTCGGATCCACTAGACGCGCTCCCACCTCAGGCTTCTGCCCAGCTGTCACCTTCTCAGCGAGACCTTGCTTATGGTCACCTTAATGTAAAGGCCACCTTATGTAAAATGGCATTCCTTACCCCAGCCTTGGTATTTCTTCTCCTTGTCCACTTTGTTTTCTCTATTGCATTGATCACATTGTAACATATTATGAATTGCCCTATTATTTTGTTTATTGTCTCTTTCCTCTTCCTGGAATATGAGCTCCATTTGTTCGTTTTGTTTCCTGACATAGCCACATCTAGAATGATGCCTGGCAGAGAAGAGGCCCTCCACGCGTATCTGTCGGAAGGGTGCTTTCATTCACTCAGCACGCGTTCACTCGCCAGCTGAGAAGTGCCAGGCACAACCCTTGTGCAGTGTGACAGTTCCTGTCCGTCTCTCTCTTGCCCACTAGAGTGGGGACCTCTTGGGCCCTGGATCAGGGTCTCTGTTTCCCCAGCGCCTGGCACAGAATAGGGGAGAAGGAAATGTTTGCTCAGTTAAAGAAGCAGTGGGGAAATTTGGGTTTTGGCGAAGTCTTTAATCATTCCATAGCAGCGATCGGCAGCTTCTGACCCACTGTCTGCTTTGGAAAATAAGCTTTTATTGGAGCACAGCTTCGTTATTTATGAGTTGCCTGTGCCTATTTTTGTGTTTCAGCAGAAGAGTTAGTGTTACTACATTGTAGCAGATTTTAGGCTTTATATGTGGCCTGCAGAACCTAAACTATTTGTTGTCTAGTGTCCTAACAGTTTTGTGACTCCTGATGTCAGGTCAGTTAGACATACTCTGTTTCGGTTGCTGACATGTGACACGCTGTCCTGGTCGGCAGAACGACTTTACGACGAACAGTAAGGAAGGACATGTCAGGACAGTTCTGCTTTGCCACACACCCAGTGCGTTTTCCGGGTTCATTCTCTGATGCATACTCACTATATTGGGGCTAGTTTAAATAACTTGTAAATATTTGAAATCTAATGGATTAGAGCCTTCACTGGACTCAGACCAGTGAATCACAATAGACAAAAAGCACCAGCAGAATATACCGTGGAAGGTGTTCATATTCTTTCTTCTCTGGGCTCTGTTCCCTAATGGGGATGCCGGCGATTTGTATACGGTGACGTTCTGTCTGTTTTACCTTTTTATAGTGCTCCCAAAAGTGTCCGAAGAAACAGTGTCTCCCACCAGAGCCCGGAACATGAAGGACTTTGAAAATGTAAGTGGAGATACCAAGTTTCTGTCCCTAAAAAACCTTGCCCAGTGGCACCGTCTAAGCAGGCCCAGGAGGAAGCCGTGCTTCTCGACAAGCGTCTGAGCCGGGTAACGCCCAGTGTGGAGGAGCGCCTGGTCTCGTGGGACTTCTTCGCACAACTTGTACACCCGGCACAGTTGGCGCTTCAGGACGTGGGCTGGTTATGGGTTCTAACAGGGCGGGCAGTTTCCAGCTTAGGGGAGGGTGGTGTGCTTCTGTGTCCCGAATGTGAGGACAGGACCTTACTGCACAGTTGAGAGGAGCTCATGTCTGTCAAAGGCTTTCTTGTAATGTCAGGCACCTTGTTAATGGTCCCTGTTTGACCTCTGCTGCACATCTGTGAGGGGTTTTCTTATGTCCATTTTACAGATAAGGAATCACAGGACGCTTTAGCGGCAGAGCTTGGACTTGAATCCAGGTTTTTAATGACTCCACAGCCATTACTTTCCCACCGCATTGGGGCGACTCCTGGCCTTCTGTGGGCTTCCTCTTTGTGGCTGTCGAGCGGAATGCGAGCAGCCCGGACCCAGCACTGCTGTGATTGTCCCAGGATGGGCGACTGGGCGGTCGATGCGGCTTCCGCACCTGATGTCTTTCGGCACCGGGTTGTCCATTTGTTAGTGGAGGGTGCTTGTTGTCAAATAACAGGAAAATAAGGTTATTTTCCCAATTCCAAATCTTTTTAACAAGTTACCTGTTCAACATTCTCATTTATCATGGGAGGAATTAGACCCTTCTTCATTTGCAACCAAATGAAACCGCACTGTGCAGGACAGGGGGCTATTCATCAGACAGAGGACGGAGGACACGGGAGCAGGACGTCCCACGACTGTGCTTCTCTCTCCCCAGTTGTCGTTACTGAACGGAGCGGTGCTGTCTCCGGATTTAATTTAGGATGCTCATTACTGCTAATAGTTATCTGCAAACCACCGGTGACCAATTGAAGAAAGGACTTGTCAGATCTCTAATGGAAACAAGTAATTTATGAGCTTTGAGCTGTTACAGTTTCAACCGTACAAGTTGATCTATGCTGTGGGGTCTGGGGCTGCAAACGAGTGAGATTTGATTACTTCACATTGTGTATAATTAAAATGTGCTCTGCTGCTTAAACGGTGGTTCCTGTTTTATCATAAGAGTAACAACAGCTGCTGCTCCCCGAGCTGCTGCCCTGAGCCGGGCACTTGCGTGCTCGGTGCTTCCTGTGTCGGTAGCCGCGGCCCCGGCGGAGCAGCTCTGTGAGGCGCAGTGTTTAATTTACGGAGGGCACGCTTTTGGAATTTATTTCTAGATGGAAAAATTCTATAGAAGCCTACAATTTTTGCTTTTCAAGAGACACATTTTCCTGTCTGCCTTTTGACCTGAGAGGAATCTCAGAGTGGAATCTGCCCTCCGTATCACAAGTAGGAGAAGCTGAGGCCCGGGGCTGACACGGCGCGGCTGTTCTCCAGGCGGTCTCTGCTGCCCAAGGACCATGGCCCCCGGAGCCGGGCTGCCTGCTCATCCGCTTCCGCAGGGTGACCGGGGCCAGTCACTTAGCCTGTCTGTGCTTGCCTTCCCTTGGAAACGGGCGGGACAGCAGTGTGTTTTTCTCGGAGCTGTTGGGGGGTTAAAGGAGTGAGTGTGCGTGGAGCACATACACCCGAGTCCACCTGTGTGTCAGCTGTTGCTCCTTCTGGTGGTGGTGGTTGTGCTCATTAGTGTGATTTTCTTCCTGCTCTGCTTGTGATTTGAGTTTCCCTTGCTCAGATGTGCCCTTGATGACCTGAGTACTACTTTTTTTAAAGGCGAGGGAGAGCCTCTATGCCAGTATGTTTTAGGATTTATGGATTTTTTTTTAACATTTTATGACCATGGTCCTTTGGCTGCTGTTAGGTTTTTATGGCATTAATATCTTTTACTGTAGTACTTTCAAGAGCAAATCCTTCAGCTGAGATTGAAATAACCACACTGTTCTCAGTGTTTCCCTTTTAGGGCTTTATAAGTGACTAAAATTTTCGTCTGGCCTGAGCTACCAAATTCACCTCTATGTTCACGTGGTCTGAACTTTGTGCAGGATGCTTACAGGAAATGCTGTTGGCATTTCATGCCAATTTTACAGTCAGCATACACATTAAAGAGGAGGCTGGAATTCCTTTGATTGAAAGGGGAATTCATGATTCCTCCTCTAGTCTCAGATAATGAGTGTCTGAACATCAGGGCCTATTAGCTAGCATCTAGCAAGACATAAGCCTCCTCCCAGTTTTGCTCAGAGTCCATCTTTCATCAATAAATATTTTCAGGTATATACCCTGTGCCATGCTGTGCCAGGGGCTGGGGACTTTGCATTAGGTTAATAACAGGCGCGTCTCTCAGTCAAGAAGCTCACAGTCTAGTTGGGGAGACAAAGCACACTAGTGCAGTGATAGAGTTAAGTACAGGGTGCTGTGGGGCCTAGCGGAGGGGCCTGGACCTGGCCTGAGGGACTCAGGGAAGCCTCCCTGGAGGAGGTGTTTCTTGAGTTGGGTCATCGGAAACAAGGCTGGATTTGCCAAGGCAAGAGGACTGGGAGGGCGTCTGGACACAAGGACCGACCTGTCCGAAGGCAGAGAGAGGCCTGGTGGGGAGTGGTGAGTTTAGAGAACTGTGAGTTCCCTTTGGCTGGAAGGGGGAGGCTGTGTGAGGGCCATTGAAGCCGGCAGGCGTCAGCTCCTGTATGTTACACTGTTTTGTTGGGTTTTGCCCTGAAGGTGAAGGGGAGCCAATGATGGATCTTAGCCTGGGAGGGAAATGACTGAATTACACGTTCAGATCACCCAGACTGGTGACTGCAAGGAGGGAGCAAGGCTGGTGGCCCTGTGATCAGTTGAAAGGCTGCCGCCTTGGCCTTGTGGGGAAGGGGATGATTCTGGAGCTAAGGGACAGGGTCCTAAGATGTTTAGCAGAAAGAATTTCAGAGCCAGAGGAATGCTAGGAGTCCCTGTGTTTGACACGTGGGGACTCTGAAACCCAGGGAGTGGGAGGGGTTTCCGTAGGCTTTGAACTTGGGTCTCCTGGCCCAGGAAGTCCTTTTTTAAAAAAAAATAAGATTTTATTTATTTATTTTTAGAGAGAGGGAAAGTCAGGGAGAAAGAGAGGAGAGTGAAACATCAGTGTGTGGTTGCCTCTAGCACACTCCCTGCTGGGGACCTGGCCCACAGCCCTGGTATGCGCCCTGACTGGGAATCAAACCAGTGACACTTAGGTTCGCAGACCCGCACTCAGTCCACTGAGCTATACTAGCCAGGGCCTTCTTTTTATTCCACTCTGCTATTTTGTACAAGGCCTTGTTCTGACACGTGAAAACCAGACGCCTTCTTGGGTCTTTAAACTGGTAACCCATTGTCTAGTACCATCATTGGCTGAAGGTATAATCACCTCCGTGGCAGGCCTTATGGTAGAAGTTGGCAAATCAGCTTGCTCTGCAGTGGGGGCCTGTCTTCACGGACCCAGAACCTGGGTCAGCATACCCAGGCAGTCCAGTAGCGGTCTTTGTCCTCACGTGCAAGACTAATTGTGGCTTTTTCTGTGACCTTACGGGCAGAGAGTGACAGGGGTAGCTTTCCCCTTCCCTTAATATTGCTGATGGACACTGTTATTTAGTGACTGTCTAAAATTCATCAAGACATACTAAAAGGGATGGATTGGACCGTAAGTTACATAATCTTTTATTGAGGGACATTCCAGATTGTTTCTCGTTTTTCACTACTGCCAGCAGAGCGGCAACGAATATCCTCGTGCACATGTCTTTTCATAGCGACGTGGTTATTAGGGCGAGTTCTGCTGCTCGTGTCCCACACCCACCTGCCCTTAGGTGCTGGGGTTCTTGTGTCTGGGACCTCGTTCCTTTTTGTTGGAAATTGGTCTCAGCTGAGGCAGTTGGTCACGTTTAGTTTTTATTGGAGGAATGGCTGGGGGGGGTTCACATCTCCAGATTTGCTCTGTAGCCTCTATGTTGCAAGTTACTTATTACTACCAGGGAATAAATAGCTCCCTTCCCCCGCCCTCTGCCCAGTCTGTCATAAAAAAAATATTGCGCATGAGCCCCCAATCCATTTTGGGAAAATTTATCCTCAGGAAACAAAGTTGCTTGTTGCCACATTGCATGTGATTATGAAAAATTGGGACTGATATACATATATATATGAGAGAGAGAGAGAGGGATATCACTCGGTTGCCTTCTGTTATGTGCCCCAGCTGGGGGTTGAACCCACAACCTAGGTACGTGCCCTGACTGGGAATTGAACCAGCAGTCTTTTGGTATATGGGAAGATGCTCCAACCAGCTGAGCCACCTGGCCAGGGCTCTTTGGTGTCTCGCAATAAACTTGTGATGAAGGTATTTCACAGATGAGGAAGCTGAGATTGTAGAGATGAAATAACTTGCCTATGAACTTGGCGTGGTTGAGAAACTCAAAGCAGGCAAAAGTCAAGTCTGGTCTCTTTGATTGCAAAGCCTGGATGCTTTCTGCTAGATGCATAGATGTTCAGTAGGGAAATGTGAAATAATTGACAGTGAATCAGGTCAGCAGAGTTGAGTGCAGTCATTTTAAGTGATAATTATGTATAATTCTGCAACAAAATTTAAGATACTAGGGGAAGGCAATAGAATATCCAAATTCACTTATTTTATAATTTTATTAAAAATGTGTATTCATGAGTGAAAGCTGCAAAGAATATAACAGGAGTTGATTTCATAGTGTTCCGAATATTATTTGGGTTCAGTTTTTAAATTCTGTTATTGCTACAGTAATGATTATTAACAAGGAGATGTTTGCTTAGGAACATCTTTCTTGATTTGGGGACACCAGGGAGAGTACTGGAATCAGAAACTAATTCCAAAGTGCCCTCCTCCCTTACTAACCCCACTTGGCTGCTGCTGGCAGGATCATCGTGCACGCAGTGTCGTTTGCCAGAGACGGACTCTGAACAGCCAGAGTTCATGGTTCT